ATTTTCACTGCCGCTATCCTACCCAGCAAAGATAAGTGCAATTTCTCCCATTTTTTCATCTCTGTCTGTGTGCTATGCCAAAGTGGTTCATAATTATGCTTATATAACTTCCCATTTGAAATTAAAATGTTAACTCCAAGATATTTGACTTTTTTAACTACCTCACATCCTAGCATCACTCCTAATTCTTCCTTTTGTTTAATATTCATATTTATAGCTAATATTTTGGTTTTTCCTAAGTTTATTTTAAAGCCCGACACTTGACCATATTGATTTTTTATTTCCATAGGTTCAGAATGTGAATGTATAGGTCACTTTAAGCTGCTATTTTCCCTTCTACGTGTCCATGGAGCTGGTCAAGTGCAACAGTTGGCTCTGGAGGTATAATAATGGTTACTGTTACTATTTTTTAAAGAGTCTTGATTAGATTTTGTCTTGATTATATTTTGTAGTTTAGCCTTCATCAGCTTAATACCTCCAGTATGATGTAGTACAACTTTTGTGTTAGAGCAATAAATTGGAGACTGCTGACATTAATGAACCAAAGTTATACGAAGCCAGTATTGATTCTGATTCTGAAAATAGTAAATTGCTTTCTGGACAAAACAGATATGTTTCAAGGCCAAATATCATTAATGCTTACCATTCAGAATACTAACTTCTGGAAAAGTGCCAACCACTCCCAGAACAGCCAGATCAACAAGGTCTGGAAGAGAAATGGAATCTTGTAAATCTGGCTTCCCCATTGACTCTGCTTGTCAGAAGGTTGCAAAAGGTGATCAAGTGTGCCTGGAACACTTCAACTGTCAGAAATATAAATCATTTGCCAAAGTCTGAATTTTGATCACATCTTGGGATGCTACAATAGTTATAAGTGTGACAAAATGGTGATAAGTCAGTGCCATCGTAACTTCAGTCACTAAACAAACTTGTAAATTGAGTATTTATTATTAAACTCTTTTTTGATTAATTGGAATAGGCTAAAAGACAGGAAGCAAGCAAATTGAAACAAAAAAGTAAATTCAGATGGAATGGAGATTTCTTATGGTTGAGGAAGAACCATTTTTCTTGCTATAAAAATTCATTTTTAAAATTCAGAGTAGCTATATTTTTCAACATACATTCCATATTTGTTCTAGACCCATTCAAACCAGCCTAAAGATTGCTAATCTAGTTTTGTTTTCTTTAACAGGTGGTGAACATAGTGACAAGTAACCAAGATTGTGTAAATAATATTGCAGAAGCAATGGTTCTTTCCAACTTACTAGCTCTCTTGCATTCATTGCCTTCAAGTATGTGGATCACATTTTAATTTATTTAGGTTCTCTCTTGTTTGGTCTTTAACTAAATAGTATAAAAAGAGGAAATTTTAGATACAAAAAACAATTTCTGTATTGAAGAGTATACTTGTGTTATTTTATCTAAGAATTATACAGACCCAACTTAGAAATGCATATATATTTCTCTTTTAAAGCTAATTCTTGGAAAATTTAATAGCAAGTGTTGTGTCTTTCTGTAGCTGACCATATATTAACCTAGTCTTTACTGACCATATATTAACCTAGTCATGAGAATCTAGAGTTCTCATGTCAAACATGATTCTTGGTTATTTCAAGAATATCATATTCTTGGCAACGGTATGAAAACTCTTTGCTATTACCTTCAGTTAGGATGGTTGTTGTTTTTTTCTCCTATTTTCCATTTGGGTTTCCATCCATACAATAATCAGATGTATACTGTATTTATCTTTTTGAGATCAGCCAAGTTTGCCAAAGTGTTGCTGCTTGCTAGAAAGTCTAATAAAATATTGCTAATTAGATAATTAAAACAAAGGCATAAGGGATATTTTGTTAGATTAATTACTATGTCATACTCTTGACAATAAAGCAGCTGCTGAATTTTGCATAGTCACATAGCAATAATATCTTCCTTAAGTAGATGCACATTAGATACAGAAAGAATTCAGTTGAATTATTAACATTACAAGACATATGTTAATTATTCCTTTTGCAATAGAATAGTATGTTTTATACTGTCCACATGTCACATGCCTTATGTAAAACAAATAAACCAAAGGAAATTCTATAAATCTAATATATAACTTTAAACAAACAATATTGTATTCTCTTAGTCTATGTTAAATAGCTAACTATAAAGTTTCACAAATTTGTTAATTTTGGCAGGTCGACAGCTAGTTCTTGAAACTCTGTATGCTTTGACATCTAGTACCAAAATAGTTAAAGAAGCTATGCAAAAAGGTATGGCAACTGTCATTGTTTTGCTGTGGTATTATTACAAGTTTTTGTTGCATTCAAAATTAACAGCTCCAAACTTCCTGTAATTAGAAATATTAGCAGTTCTGTACTTTTTTAGGTGCATTAATCTACTTACTTGATATGTTCTGTAATTCAACACATCCACAAGTTCGATCTCAGACAGCAGAACTTTTTGCTAAAATGACAACAGACAAGCTGGTTGGTCCAAAGGTAAGTATAGCATCATCAGTAGATTTCACAGATGTTTTAAAAGCAACCCAAGTCATACATACTATATAGTATATACATAACGCCTTGAATTTGGCTTGAAATAAGTGTAAATCATCTCAGAAATTTTGGATCCTTGCAAGACTTGAAATAATTGAATGTATGGCCAGAAATAAATAGCAGGCACGTGAGCTTGGCAATTGCCCTGTTACAAAGGCATCACTTCTAGTAATTTATTCAGAAAAAAACTTATTTTGTTTCATTCCACTGATACAATCCACTTTGATTAACTGGAACACTGATAGCTATGACAAATTTGTAAGCTCCATGTCTGTGTGTGTGTGTATTTTCCTTAGGTTAGAATTATCTTAATGAAATTTCTACCTGGTGTCTTCATGGATGCTATGAGAGATAATCCTGAAGCTGCTGTTCACATTTTTGAAGGAACACATGAAAATCCAGAGTTAATATGGAATGACAACTCCAGAGAGAAAGTATCTACAACCGTTCGCGAAATGATGCTAGAGTATGTCACAATAAAAATAATTTCTTTCCAACAAATCTGCTACTTTGAAAACAATTTCTTTCTGTAGGTTTAAAATGTTTAATGTCTTTGGTGCTCTCTGAGCTTACTTGTTTTCTTGCAGACATTTCATTACCCTCAACTAGGTAACATAAGTGCTAATGAGTGCTATGTGCTGTAAGTTTATATTATGGTGACTGTGTGGATGGGGGCAATCTTAGAGATTCTTTGGTTGGGCTGTTTGTTGATAGTTCTTTGGCAGGGTTTTTTATTGGGGCATTGCTTACTTGATTGTTGGTTCAAGTTGACCTTGGAGTTAATCTATGTTGATCTGAGTGCTAGTTACTGGAGAGAGGTGCTGGAGTCTTTTTCTCTTGGGCTGGTTGATTGTTTCAGCAGACAATAGACAGACAAGTCACCAGAATATAAACTGACAGCAAACAGCACTGATGATGTTACTTAGTTGGGGCAATGAGACATCTACAAAAAAACAAGCAAGCTCAGAGAGCACCAAGAACATTTATTTCAACCCTAAGCTACAAATATTCTCCTTTGTTGGTATTTAATGTCTGGGTTTTTTTAAAAAAAAATCAAACTCTTAGAAATAATTCAGCTGAAGATTGCAGGTTGCTAGCCTGACTCTGTTTTCAGAGAAAATAATAATTTTCTTTCCTCTTTTTAAAGGCATTTTAAATTGCAAAAGGACAATCCTGACATTAACTGGAAGGTAAAAACATCTTAATATAAATATAATTAAAATATTTACATTTTGTTTTATGTTGTTGCTTATGTCCTGTCCATTTTCATTCTGTGCCTGCACTGATTCTTTCATTGCCTACACTGATTGTCATATTGGGACTTTGTGGAACATATTTCTTAAAGCTGGCACACTCAAAATACATCAGTATGCAACCCTTATAATTTCCAACTAATGTGGCTATATATAGGGCAATATTGGGGAAGTGGCAACAGTATATTTTATCATGTATTAAATAACTAAGTTGAAGTTCCTCTTTTCCCTAATCACCAGGTATCCAACTGTCCATTATAGACTTCCTATTCAATTATCAGATTTGCAAAGTAATCTAGTACAAGTGCTTAGTTTCAGTTTTAGATATTTTATTTCTTTCTTCCTTTTGCTTATAAATAATAAATAAAAAATAGCTGAACCTTTTATGTCACAGAATAACAGAATAACTTTTTTTCTCCTTTTTGGGGTTGATTTAGTTGCCTGAAGATTTTGCTGTTATATATGGTGAAGCAGAGGGTGAACTGTCTGTAGGGGGTGTCTTCTTAAGAATCTTTATTGCCCAGCCAGCCTGGGTTCTACGGAAACCTAGAGAATTTCTCATTGCCCTATTAGAAAAATTCACTGAACTACTGGAGAAGAATAATCCTCATGTAAGTTTAGTTTTTAAGTTTGTCTTCAACTTTGTGTAATTGTTACCATATTTTTCAGAGTATAAGATGCACCAGAGTATAAGACGTACCAAGGTTTTGAAGAGGCAAATTTTTTAAAAAAGTTTTTGCATTGCAAACCTCCCAAAAACAGCCCATTTTTCACGAAAACGGGCCTGTTTTTTTTTTAAAGGCATGAATAGCCCTTAGGAGACTTGTAGAGTGGTCCTGGGGAAGGGTGGCAAAAAAGAGCAAAAAAACAGCCCGTTTTTTGTAAAAAAAAAGGGGGGGCATTAGGTAGCTTATAGAGTGCTCCTGGGAGCTGGGGGAGGGGGCAACATTTCTGCTCTTTTCTGCTTTCCCCAGCCCCCAGGAGCTCTCTGAAAGCCTCCTACAAACTATGCACGGCCATTTTGGTGAAGGGGGCAGGGTTTCAGAAGGCAAAAATGCTGTATTCAGTGTATAAGACACAGCCAGATTTTCACTCTATTTTTTGAGGGAAAAGGGTGTGTCTTATATTCCAAAAAATATGGTAATTTAAATTTTTGAAAATGATAGAATCCTTCTCATTCATAGAAGAAGAAATAAATTCAGGAAAAAATAAATTAGAATTATTTTCTAGCTAATATTCACTAATTTAAAATTGAGTATTTCTGTTGATAGCAGCATTCACTTAAGTAGACTTAGATTAGAGTTAATGAAATTTTACTTTTGAATAAATAAATTAGCTTTTTTATTCTTTGGTCTGATAATAGGATATTTTATATTGATTAACAGTTCAAGATAATAAAAGACATTAATATAGATTGAAATCAGTGAAGCCTATGAAAATAGTTTTTCAAATGTCAAAAATAAACTAGCAGCAGTATGTCATGGAATGTATGCATGATTGATTCATTAGTCATAACAACTTGGGTACATAACAATTACATCGATTTATGTAGCTTGAATTTTCTTCAGTGTAAGTTCCAAACCATGAAAACTATCTGAAGTATAGTTTTATCAATAAAAGAAGCTGTGTATTGAATACAGTTTAAAAATATTTCATTCATGAAAAATCTGTGAGTGCTGTTTAGTCATGTTTTTCAATCAGATTAATATAAGTATAAGTATAATTTTTATTGTCATTGTACTTAAATACAACGAAATTGGTTGTAATTGTGTGCCATTGTATAAGTTACTTTCTTTGTGTTTTAAAACAGGGGGAAACTTTGGAAACAATAACAACAGCAACAGTATGCCTCTTTAGTGCTCAGCCTCAGCTAGCAGACCAGGTTCCCCCACTGGGTCATCTTCCCAAGATTCTTCAAGCTATGAATCATAAAAACAATGCTATTCCTAAAAGTGCTATGCGAGTCATACACATACTATCTGATAATGAGGTACGGAGCCTTAAGTCACAATAAAAGGTGTATGTTTGTCAGGGTAGGCCTTCTTTGGGGAGGGGGCAACAAAATAACAGAGTTGGAAGGGACCTTGGGGGTCTTCTAGTCCAACCCCCTACTAAGGCAGGAAATACACCACTTCAAACAATTGGTTATCCAATATCTTCTTTAGAACTTCCAGTGTTGGAGCATTCACAACTTCTGGAGGCAAGTTGTTCCACTGATTAATTGTTCTAACTGTCAGGAAATTTCTCCTTAGTTCTAAGT